TCACTCTGGGGTCAACAATTTCATCTTATCTGATTTTACCTTGAAAGGTGCATGAACCTGTAAGTTCTGCCTCTATCAAGTTTTCCCATTTCACTTCAATTCTCCATCGGAAGAATGTTTTCACTCTACTAATTGCTTTCTCCGTCTGCTATTATTTCTAATTCATTTCTTGAAAGCATTTGGATCAGCAGTTGGGGAAAAGCAGTTCTGGTACAAAATAGTGCTCTGTCCACATCTCCCCTTTTTTTTCATGACCCCCCCCATGTTTCCATGGCCCATCTGTGGGTGTGTGCCTTTCAGTCTTGTCTCTACTTCTCCTGTCCCTGTCACTCCTAAATATTAAATCCCCAAACAGCTCCATCCACATCTAAAATCCTTTCTTGGCACCAAAACGCTGCTTGGCAAGAAATGCTCAATTCTCCTGCTTTTATATTTTCGTTTGGTTCGTCATTGTTATTTTCTTTTGAGCTGTTTGTAAATTGTTTAGGGGAATGAAAGAGTCTGTATAAATTAAGATGAATCAATCTGACACAGAGCACAGTGGTTGAGTTTCTTCCCCTGCCCCCCAAATAAAAATATCCTCTAAACCCACACCTGTAACCCTCATCTCTCCCAATGCCTCCCAGATCACTGGATTACCAGGATGCACCTCAAGGTCCATTTGTCTCTGTAGCTTAAACTCTAACCCCCTCCCAGACCCACAGTAGAATACCCTGACAGGGAGCATTAAAATCTCATAGAATAGTTCTTACAATCTGGGCTTTATTCAATGAAATAAAAACTTAATTACAAACATCTGGTTTAGCCTAAATTCTAATTACTTAATCTAGCCATCTGTAATTTTAATGATTTTCCACAATTTTTGTTCTTTGCGGCATGATTAATGGGGTGACACGTGAAACTAGAGGGTCTGCGTCTCCATTCAGGCTACCCCTTCTGCTTGTGGGAGCCGAGGGCGGAAGCACAGGCAGCTTGTGGTCAGCCACCTGGCCCAGGTGGACAGCCCTGAGCTTTCTCTCATGGTTCCTCCTTCAGCCAGCTCCACCCCGAATTCTGCACTGACAGGGAAGGTGAAAAAACAGGGAGACTCACACCCAAGTCAGGAGGACAAGAAACAGGAGAGAAGAAAATGTCGAGGCCCGAGAGGGAACTTGTAGTGTAGGAGAGAAAGAAGAAGAAAGGTTGTGGAGAGAGGGGAGGGTGGAAAGGGAAGATGGGGAGACCATGAGGGAGAAAGAAGAGAGGGGGAGAGAAGGGAAAGGAGAGAGGGTGGGAGAGTGAGCCCCCACCTAGACGGGGTTGGTTGCAGTGTTTTTAGAAAGCTGGATGGGGAGCAAGAACAAGGCTGTGGTTTCCTAGAACTGATTATTTCTTGCCTCTAGTTCCCTAGCAAATGAAGAAAGAGCTAGGCTGTTTGTGCTGGGAATTTCAGCTCCAAAGAGACAGGAAGAGGCACTGCTTTTCAAAAGGTAGTTGCTAAAGTGAAAAGCCTTGAGAAAGATTTGTTGCTGTTTGAAGCCGTGAACTCCCTTTCCACATACTCGGAGGTGACGACTTTCTAGAATATCTTCCCTTCCTCCTCAGAGGCCAGCCAACATCATGGATCCCCCTTCAAGTAACTTGAGACAGATGAGCAGAGCTGCCCAGCAAGCCAGCTCAGATGAGCTGATCTTTAACTCACCCTCAGACGCATGAGCTACATAAATGCTTCTTGCATATGCTAGGGGAACTCAGGGGCTGACTGCCACAGAGCATTCCTGTAACAAAAGCCACCTGATACATTTCCTAATGCCTACCCCAAGTGTCTGGCATATAGAATGCTCGATAAACTCACTCGGTGAATTGTTTATTCCACAAATTGGAGTCAGACTCATCGCCTATTGTGTCTTCTCAGAGGGTCAAACCTACTTAGCCTGAAATGAGCTAGAAGGGATCCGGGGCCCCGCAGTTACGCAGCGACTGAAGAGCACACAGCAAGAAAATGACAAGCCAGCCCTTGAGCGTGGCCCTGTGCCTCCAGTGCCAGTGCTCTCTCAGCATGTGGGAGCCTCGTGGGAGGCCTTGTCGGGGGTCCTCACGGCCAGCCCAGTAGGTACCAAGGGCCTCCCATCTGCCAGCCCAGGGCACTCGTGGAAGAGCTGAAACCTTCAGAAAGGGAATCGGAAATGTGGCAAGGGGACCGTTAATTCCCACCCACGAGGCCAGATGCCACCTGTGGGCGGTCTGGGTAGAAGAGGTTTTGCTTTCCTTCCTCACATTGTGCTCTGGCATCTTGGCGCCTCATTAGAAAGCTGGAGCAAAGACTGAGAACTGAGAATCGCAGCAGGAGAGACGTAGGGACAGGCTGGAGACATGCCTGGAGGATGAGCCTGGCCCTACCTGTGCTGCCCTGCTTGACACCACACCCTCTAAACCATTTGAGGTGGGTGAGGATGGCTCCCTCAGGTGCCTCACCCTGCAAATCCTTCCCATGGATCCTTGGGGCCCGGACAACCCTGTCAGGATGCACTCCACACACCTTCAACGACTTAGTTCTCAAGCCTCCTCCTCCTAGTGGGTCCCCGGATCCTGAGAACATGACACCCACACAGCCCCCTTAGCTACCTCTTCCATCCTGAGGTTCCCACCAGGAGAGGGCAGAGTTTGGTGCATGCAGGAAGGGCCTGGGTGAGGCCAGAGGGAGCCTCTCTGGAGGAGTTCCAGCAGGAGAGTGGTCCAGGGCAGAGGAAAGAACATCTGGCAATCGGGTGTCTCAGATTTAGTTTAACTCTGCAAAAGCTCTGGTGTTTGGCCTTGAACCAGAGCCCACATCCCCACCCTCACCTATGTCCCCAGCTGACATTCAGTTTCCCTGTCTGAAGAGTGAAGACGCAGATCAGCTAACGGGCCCTCACAGCAGCAAGACGCTTTCATCCCGAACCCCGGCAGTTCTCAACAAGGGCATGGCTGGGAGTCAGGAGACTTGCAGATGGCACTCCCTGGCATCGCTTGGTGCCCTCACAACCCTCCTTCACAGCCGCTGCCTCCCCAGCCTTGTCCCCACCTCCCAGAGCTTCTATGTGCATCCTCGTGAGTTGGGACTGGAGAAGGATGGACTGCAGGAGGGCCGTGCTCAGCGGCTGGCCGTGAAGGGGGATGCGTGGAGGTCAAGGTGCACCAGGGGCTGGGGGCTGCTTACCGCAGGCCCAGTGAAGGGCACGTGGTCACAGTTCTCCTGCCAGGACTGGTTGAGGCTCTGGGCAAACTCTTGGAAGAAAGCATGCGACTGGTTGAAAATGGAAAATCCCAGAATGTTGACACGATCGTCCACAAGGCTGTCCATTCTCTGGAGTGAGAACTCCTGGAAGCCACCAGAGAAAGAACAGTTAGAGGAGGGAAGAAGCGAATGGGCCTGCGTACCCTGGTGTCACATTGGATTCTGCTGGGCACTAGGGGTCCAGAGCTAACAAAGTGAGGGTGTCCTGAGAGCTCAGTGTTGGGGGAGGGCAAGGGATGGAGGTAGACTGGGAAAGAAAGGAGCAGAGTGAAAGGAGCAGAATGATCTCTAAGAAAGGTGGGTCAAGAACACCCTGGATGAAAAGAGAGGGAAAATGCAAATGTGTCTAGTGGAAGATGGAAATGCCAACTGTCCTGGCAGAACTGTGCCCCTGGACATCACCTTTGAGGTGGCCTGGAAGGTGGCTTCTCTGTGGAAAATGTGGAGGGCCAACAGCTATTTGAGACAGAGGTCACCATGAACACAAAGGTGAGGGTGTGGGGGGCAGCATGCAGCCCTTCAGCTCGTTTCCCCGGGGGCTCTGCAGGGAGCATCACATGCCCGAGGGTGGATGGAGAGCACCGGCCGAGAGCCTGGGTGAGAGCCTGTCCAGGTACCTTTTATAAAACGGATGTTTTGAAAAGTTCTTAACCTAATTTGTAAATTTTACTTTGCTTACTTTTCTTTATTGAAGTAACATTGGGTTACAACAGTTATGATGGAGGGGAGGGTCACAGCTCCTCTGACTGATGTCACCACCTCACCCTACCACCCAAGTGCCCCATGTCCTTTACCCTAGGCCAATGGGGCTCCTGCCCCTCCAGTAACCTCAATTCTGTGGTCATATTTCTTTAAAAAAATCATCTATTTATGTATTTTTCCATCATTTGTTTTTGTACAAGTTTGATTTCTTGATTTCCCCTCTCAGGTATAAACCCCATAAAATTCCCACCACTAAGACATCTGTGAATGGTCATGAGAGTCTCTCCCCTCCCCTATTTGGATACCTACCCCCCCACGATGGTTTCTTATTTATAGTTGCCTGCTAGTTTTGTCTTTTTTTTTTTTCCCTGATCCCATGTTTGGTTCTCCTATATTCCTCCTATAAGTGAAACCATCCAATATGGCATTTTTCCTTCTATCCAGACACAGGATATGAAAAGAGACCTACATTTCCTTTTTTCCACTAAGTATAATCCCTTCTAGCTCCATCCATGTTGCTGCATATGACATAAGCTTATCTTTTTGACTGCTGCATAGTACTCCAACATGTACATAGACTACATCCTCTTGATCTAGTTATCTGTTTGGAGGCATTTAGGTTGTTTCCATTATCTTAGCTGTTATAAATAGTGCTTCTTTGGTCATATTTCTACAGTTTGTTTTGGTTTAGTTTTGTGATGACTTTTGCACCCCACTTAATACCAACTGAACAGAAGCTCTGGTGCTGAGACCCAGGAGTCTGCGGAACAGCAGCCGCAAGATCTTATGCACACTGAAGTTTGTGAGCCACTGCCCCTGTTTGGAAGTACATGGGAGACATGAGAGTGGGAGAGGGGAGAGAAATGAAGTGGGCAGGGGCTGAAGTCTAGGTTGCCAGCCTAGGGAGGCTTTGCTTCTCCTGTAGGTGAGGGACCCCAGGGGACAGTTGGCAGAGGAACAACAAAATCAACTGTGCTTCTAAAAATCTCAACATGAAGGTCTTGAGGTCAGGGTGTGCTTTCATTTACTTTGATTTCTTCATTCTTTCAACTAATATTTAAGTGATTCTTAAGTGCCAGATATGATTTCAGACACAGGCTATGAAAAGAGACACACATTTCTTGCTTTCAAAGTGCTTACAGGATAGTGGAAGAGATGGGCTGTGAATTAATAAATACATATAACTTCAGACAGAGCTGCAGTGTTAGATGAGGGGGTCACAGAAACTCCACCTAGATCCATGACATTTAGAAGCTCAAAGGAATTCTCCCAGCAATCCAGTCACCTTGTTGGTGTCAAGAGGGAGCTCAGCAAGCCAACACCTGCAATGTGAGTCCCTTGTGGCCAGTTAGAGTCCTCAGGAGAAGAACTGCCGTCCTCAGGCAGGACTGAGCTCACAGCCCGCAACCTCCGAGTTCCCGTCTTGGTCCCCCACAGGGAACCCAGGGCGTATTATTTGGCTCCCCAACCCACGCTCCTGGAATGCTGCCTTCCTGTGTGTCAGGTCATTTTTGCACACTCGTGTCCCATTTATCGCAAGTTTATGCCAAGAGCCTATACACAGCCCCACACCCCATAGGCATGAGGTACTTAGAGACTCCAGGACTAACCCATTTGCCACTCAGCCTGACAAGACAGAGGAAGCACTGCTTTCCTTCAGGGGGGCTCTTTTTCTTAAGTATCTAGCTCCTCCAGGCCCCTGGCACGCCACCTGCCTCCTCACTCACATCTACTGCCACTGCCAGGGCCTCCGGCCATGGACCTGAACCCCCCTGCCCAAAGCCCCAACCCCATTAGCTGCAGCTGCAGCTTGAAGCTACAAAGATTTCTTGGGACCCCCTGACAGTGTGGAGTCAGGCAAGGATGAAGTATATTTTGGATCCCACCACATTCCCATTAGGGAACACAGACATGCCAGAGAATATGTTGATTCCTAAGCTGATATTATCTCCATTTCACCAGGGCAGCTGCCCATACGCTGGGGGCTATCAGGAGGCACGAGGGGCAGACGGCTAATGAGAAGAGCTGCAGCTGGCGGTGGGGAGGCGGCTGGGCCCGGAGCCAGGCTGCTGTCGGACAGCCAAGGAGCCTCACCAGTTGAAGCTGGTGTGTGAGGGGCTGGGGGATAGCCCCACTCCCTTGGCTTCCTTCTCCATGTGGCAGCCTGTCACCCCTCTCGCCTCTCCCGGGCACACAACGTGACGGAAGGAGGCGATGCACGCAGCCCTGCTGTCTTGGATACCTGCAGACTCACATGGGGCAGAAGGGGGGTAAAGTGGATAAGGTTTTGGGTTCAAGTCCCAGCCCCACTCTTTCCCCCAGGCCACCCAATACAGATGTTTGACCTTCAGGAAGAACTTTAACCCCAGCTTGGGCGTCAGAGCCTCACTTTGTAAAATGGAAACGATGACCACAACCTCATGGGTTGTTAAGAAACAAAGAAGACACATGCAAAAGGCTTAGCAGTTTGCAGTGGCCTATAGGACAGTCACTGAACTACTACCGAGAGCTCTCGGTAGCATCTAGCTCCTCACTTCTTCAGTTCCACTTGTCTTGGAAACCTGAGTTAGGAGGGTGTTTCCTTTAAATGTATGCTCCAGGCAGCGTAAGAATGAATTAGTTAATTACAGACACTTCCAGACAGCCTATCTTGAAGTCAGCCAGTCTGTCTTCTTGCCTTTTAATTCCTACCTTCTTATCCCTCAATTATATCCTATTTTCAAAGGCCCCCTTAAGATAAAAAGATCCAGGAACTTCATTGATAATTCATTCTATTCATAATGACTCATGGGAGAGCTTGTAAAAGGACAAGAAAGGGGGTAATGTGTTCTCTTATAATTTCCCAGGATATTCTACCATCTAATCCCTAAGCATCCTCACATTAGGAAATGCTTCTTTATGTCTAAACTTAGACTCTCCTGCTGCTATTGAAGGCTGTTTTCTAAACAGATTTGGCAAACAGGTGATCACTGCCAGGTTCTCCACAACAAAAACCTTTCAAGTAAGTATTTCCCAAAGCGCATTCATTAGGACACTAGCTTTTCTCGGGGATGTTAAAAAAAAACCAAAAAAAAACCAAGGTTCCATGTTGAAATTAGGTTAGAAAACATTGCATATTGTATCCCCATTCAAGATTCATAATGTGCAATAGCCCATTAAAGGTTTAAAAAAGTCCTACGGTGAAACAGCTTCTTTAATTTTGTTTACAGCTGAACGTTGGAAACACATTAACCAAGGCATGCTTTCTCTCTTCCCACACACAAGTATGTCACAGCAGTGTTTTAGGCGAGATGATGGGAAACACTATTCTAAGCATATTCAGGGGAACGGGTGTCAAAACCCTCACATCAAAGGGTGGAGACATTTTGTTGAAAGCGAGCATTCACAGAGTTAACAAATATCATGACGGGAGGGATGAAAGGCCATCTGGCTTCTGCTGCCCACCACAAGCTCCAAGGTGCACACCTAGCTGGTCCAGGTTTCTCTGCCGTCCTCTCGGACCCCCATGTTGCCTGGCTGGCAGCGGCCTAAGTGAAATGAGAGGAAGGGAGGAAGCCCTGGCTGGAGAGGCTCTCACGGGACCTTGAGTCTCTTCTAATGAATGTCCCAGAAGGGAATTCCTAAGGCCCCCATTCCCAAAGGGAGTGGGTTCAATTATCACACCAGGAGGACCAGGATGAAGAACAGAGTAAATGGCCGTCCGGGAATGCTGAGGGGCACAGAAAAGGCCAGGATCCAGTCGTTAATTACTCCACATCCTGTCCCTTGCCAATCCTGTCAAATCTGTCTCCTAAATCTTAAATCTTTCCCTTCTTTCCACCCCACTAGGTGAGACCTTCACCAAGTCCCCTTTGTAACAGCCTGTTCACTGAGCGGGCACCTAAGCTCTCAGAAGTCACTTAACCCTGAACAACTGCCAGTGTGGCTTATATGGATGGTAACTTGAGTGGCGCCCCCTAGCGTCGAACAATGTGGCAACCTCATCTGGAAACATCTGGATGAAGCAGAAAGAACACAGGTTTGGAAATAAGCCAGTGCTGGCAATCCTGATTTTGGCCACATATTGATGGGGTGATCTTGGGCAGGTCAGCACCCTCTCTGAATTTCAGCCTGCTCACATATAAATAAGAGTCCAGCTGATGCTTCATAGGCCCTTGCCTGTGGGTTTTCTTTCTAGTGTACCCCATCCTGTATTCCCCCCCTTCTCTTCTTCCCTAGTCTACAAAGGGATGAAAAGGGATATATCTGGCCTGGGGTCTTCTCCTCCCTCCTTTTCTGCCCCTTAGCTCAACAAAAAGCTATTCTTAGCTGCTTGTCAAATGAGAAAAGTTTTGCTAAATAAGTCACCATAAGGTGTTAATTGCTTTCTGTGGCTATTTGTG